TGAAATATAGGGAGTTCAGTTAATTAATGCATGAGCAACTGACAGTTAGCTGAGTTTAGAATATTAGAGATTGAAACTGTCAGCAGCCCACCTACCTTTTAGGCATCTGTGTAAACAGTTGCGAGTTGCTTCCAGGTCTTCATAGCAAAGGCAAAGTGTGTGATGCATTTATTTTTATTTTTTGTTAATTCTCACCTGAAGATATATATATGTATATAGTAGAGAGAGTAGAAGGAAGGAAGGGAGGGAGGGAGAGAGAGACAGAGAGAGAAACATTGATGTAAGAGAGACACATTGATCAGTTGCCTCCCGCATGCGCCCGACTGGGCCAAGATCAAACCTGCAACCCAGGTACATGCCCTTGATTTGGAATCAAACCCTCAACCCTTTGGTTTGTGGACTGATGCTCTGTCCACTGAGTCACTGTCCAGGGCACTAAGTGGTGCATTTTATGAACTGGAGTCGCTGCTGGACTTTGTGAAACTTGCTTTATAATCAGAATGTTGAACACGAGGATGCAGCCCCAGAATGGCAGTTGTTTTCAGGGGAGGGAGACTCTGGTGAGGACCATTAGCTAATGGATGTCTAGTTTTAGGCTAGACTAGATTACATGCCACTGCCATTCTGTCCTTCTGCAGTGATACTGTGACTTCTTAGAAGTTACCATCGAAGCCAGGAATATGTATTTCACTCGTTTGACGAATGTGTCAGATTCCAGGTAGTCAGCTTGCAGCCGATCTGTAGAATCAGCCTTTTCTATCCGTTTTCAGGCTCTCCGAAAACTAGTGTGTATAACTAACTGTAGGGCCTCTTGCCATCTCGCCCGTCGTAGAGAAAAGGGAGCACTGATGCCTGGCAGGGTGAAGGGAATGTGCAAGTTCATCACTGGGAAGCATGTTTTTAGACGTTCAGGTACACGCAGTTCTCAGCTCTCCTCAGTATTGCAAAAGGCACAGAGAAGCTTAGTTCATGTTAGTTTTAGCAACTGTATTTGAAGGCAGGCATTTGCATGCTTTAAAATGCCAGGGCTGCCCGGCCAGTGTTGCTCAGTGGTTGAGCATCGACCCATGCACCAAGAGGTCGCTGGTTCGATTCCCGGTCAGGGCACATGCCCAGGTTGTGGGCCTGATCCCCAGTCAGGGGTATGCAGGAGGCAGCCAGTCGATGTTCTCTCATATCCATGTTTCTATCTCTCTCTCCTTCTCCCTTCCTCTCTCTAAAAAAAAAAAAAAAAAAAAAAAAAAAATTAATAAAGAAAAGTAAAAAATGCCAGGGCTAAAGAGCCAGACATTTTGTAATATTCATTTGCCTTCTGAGAGAATAACACTGGTCACAGTGGCTTCCTGGCTGTGCTAATTTGAAACTGCCAAGAGCCTTCAAGGAAGAGAAACACCTGTCAGTAGTGACAGGGTTTGTGACATCACTGGATGTTGTGATGAACTGTCAGTGCTCTCAGTTGCCAGATTCAATGTCTGGCCCAACCTGGTATTTTTGAGATTTTAGAAAGACAGTGTTAGATGATTAGTGTTTTATTTCAATTCACCAACCAACCGTAGACAATTGCTCTTCCTGTGGTTTCCAGCTGCTCAGACAGGCAGCTGGCTTTTGTTTCCACACCAGTAGTGAAGCAGCACGGATATATTTTATTAAGTATTAGCCCTTTTTAATATTAATACTGTGGTAACATGTACTTGCGGGCATTTGGTTCATTATAGTTGTAGGCTTTAAAACAACAAAACTCGTCTATTCTTGGAAGCACACTGTCTGACCAGGCGACCTCTCTGCTTCTAAACTTTCGTTCCTTGTTTGGTGGATATTAATGATCCAAGATGGTCAAGTTGCTTAATATCCTGAGATGGAAAGTGCTTCACCTGGGATTCAGGAGCTTGCTGAAGCTCCTTTAAATTCCAGCCTCTCTCCCACCTGCTAACTTGTCCATTTCCTTTATAGCTTATAAAAAATTCATTGCAGATTATGTGATCCTATTATAGAAAAATTAGAAAATAGACGAGAGCCCTGGCCGGTTTGACTCAGCAGTTAGAGCATTGGTCCGTGGCCCAATGAGTCACACGTTTGATTCCTGTCGAGGACACCTAGGTCCCGTCCCCGGCCCTGGTTGGGTCATGTGGGAGGCAACCAGTCGATGTGGCTCTATCACATCGATGTTTCTGTCTCTTTCTCACCCTCCCTCCCACTCTATCTGATGACAAGTAGAAAAATACCCTCAGGTGAGGAATAAAAAGAAAATAGAGGAGGAAAAAAAGCTATTGCTATAATTTTACAGTCTTCTCTTCATCTTTTTTCCTAGATGTATATATTTTCCTTTGCTCTGTGTATAGGTGTGTGTGCATGTGCGTGTGTGTTAGGGCTGTGTGGGTTGTGAATGACAGACACCTAGTTCCAACAAGCTTGAGCGAAGAGGAGAATTCATGTTAAGGATTGGGCGTCTCTGCGCCCAAGGACAGGAACTTGGCGAGGCCTGAGGGTCAGTGGGTGCCGGCCGCGCTCTCCCAGTCTTTCAGCTGTGTTTCTTCTCAGGCTTCTTTCTCTGTTTCTGCCTTTGTCTTTCTCTCTCTTACCCAGTTGTTTTCCACATGAAGGAAAACATATTCACAGAAATCTCCCAAGTTCAATTGCTTACCACTTCAGCCATCCAGAGAGTGCAACCCCATTCTTGTGTGATCCCAAGACCCAGGGTACAAAATGGTGGTTCGTGGGATAACTATTTGGTAGGTGGAGGGGTGCTCAGGAGGGATTTCCATCTCTTGGCCCCCAGGTATGCATGAGTCTTCCCTTTTCATGTATTTAGTCCCCAGACTGCCCCTACCTAACATCAGGAGCCATCCCATATCAAGCTACAGACCCATCCCCTTCCCAGTGGGAGACCCTGAAGTCTTGCTCAGCTGTAGCCTCAGGGGTCTTGTCATAGGGCCACTGTTCTCCAGGCCAAATGCTCTAGGCCACATGCACCCTTCTACTTCAGGTGTGAGCAGGTCCAGGTGGCCTAAAATAATGTTAACTACCCCACCCCCAAACAGTTGTGCATAACTTCTGGATTCCCGGCTAGGGCGGGCACCACCCCCAGGCTTGTTTTCCTAGCCAGTCTACCTAAAGCAGATTTCCTAGTTCCAAAGGTGGAGTTAAAAGCAGATTCTTGCTCCTTGGGTTTAAGGCTTTGCCCAGAGAAGAGACTGAACAGGCAGTGATAACCTTGCTGCCGTTTCTCCCATTCCAGGTGAGTGGGCTCTGGCTCTGGACAGAGTAAAGGGGGAGCTTCTCCTCCAGGCCAGGCACACAGGAGGTGAGATGAGCTGGGTTCTGGAAGCTGTGGCGTCCGTTCTGCCGGTTGGTCTCCACCGTGGAAAAGGAATGCAGGGACTAGTGTCCTGCCCCCTCAGACTGTCCTGGAGAGAATGGGGCTTTCCCTTTTAAGGGATTAACTGGGCATCATCCTGGCTCTTACCAAGAATGACCAGGTATTTGGGGGTCAGACTCCCATATACAAATAACCCCCCAATCTTTGAGATTTAGTGCAAAAAGCCAGCTATATTTTTAAAATAGCATTTGTGCCAAAATTCAAACTGTCTCAGTATAAACAAGTTGGCCTGTTTTTAATCAAACACCTGTAGGAACCAGTTAATTTGCGGACAGTGTAGTGACAAAGGAAGTGGCAGACTCATTACAAAATGGCATTGCTGAATGGGCCCTACCTCAAAAGCATGTTCCTAGGAAACCTCACCAGCTATCACCTGCACGTGTGCAGTGCACACACACACACGCACACACACACACTTGCATACAGCTGCTCCCATAAAATCTGTGTGGATGAGGGTACAATTCCTAGCAAAGCTAGAGGACAGGCAGAGCAAAAAAATCTGTCCAATATAATTATAACTACAGTGTACATTAAATTTTGGATTCTATATTTTTCATGTGATAACGTATATAAACATTTTTCTGTATTGCTGTAGATTTTTCCACATGCTGTTTTAATGATTGCATAATGTTTCAATGAGTGTATGTGTCATAGTTTGTTTCAGCCACTGAAATATTATTGGAAATTCGGGTCTTTCTAGTTTTTTAAAATTTATAAATGAGGTGTAATGAGTATCTTTGTGCACAGAGCTTTTTCCATATCTGGAATTATTTCTTTAGGATATAGAAGTGGAATTACAGGACCAAAAATATGAGCACTTTTATGCTTTCCAGAAAAACTGTACAAACTTAACATTTTCATCTCCACCAGCAATGGACAAAAAAGCAAATTTCACTACCTTGTGCTATTTTCTTTATTTTTTTTTCATTTTTTATTTTATTTTTTTAAACTTATCTTTAGTGTTGAATATTATAGTGGGTAGTTTTCTTTAAAAAAATTTTTTTTATTCATTGAGCATAAAAGGTGCCTTTTGATTTAAATTGTATTTCAAGTATAAGTGAGGAGTGATTGGAGTTGTTTCTTATACATTTTCTTTTATAACATGTCTCTTTTGAAATTTTGGTGTTTTATTACTACATAAACTCATCATAGAATGAGAGCTGTTTTTCCTGTTTTGCATTAAACATTTCCCCTAATTCTTTGCCCTTTTAAATGTTGTGTGTGGGGGTGTGTTGGTATTCCTCTTTATCGTGGAGTCTTGCGAGATGGCCAGGTTTTAGAAAGTGAAATATAACTAAGAGAAGCAAGTCAGTTAGCAAACTGAGCATACTTTCTCTCTCTGTTTCAGCGGAGTATTTCAGAATCCCTGTCCTTGCCATGTTAGGTCATAAGCCTGTCTGTCTGCAGGAAGGATTGCCACTTAGAATAAGGTGATCTGGATTCTAGTCCTGACTCAGCTGCGGTCTAGACAGGTGCCCTTGATGGGAACTTCGGCTCTCCCACCTCAGTGTCCTCATCTTGAAGATGGTGGAGTTTAGAGCCTTTCGGGGTAGGGGTCTGCTGTGGAACGTGCCTGAGGTGAAGAATCATGTTGACCATGAGGTTCTTCTCCATCTCATTGCAGATTTTTGGAAGTCCCAGCACGGTGACCCTTCCTGAAACCTTGTTGTTTGTGTCAACCCTCGATGGAAGTTTGCATGCTGTCAGCAAGAGGACAGGCTCGATCAAATGGACTTTAAAAGAAGGTAATTTTGGATGTGGTCCTTGGGTAATATGGACGTTGGCTCTGCTGCTTCCAAGGAAACATATTCCAGAAAAAGAGAAAAACAGCTATATGTTATTTAACAAAATAAAAAGGGGTAACGGAGTCAAGTAGAGTACAGGGCTCAAAGGTACAGCTTGAATTGTGATTGTCTGTTAAGTGCATTGGTTGAAGAGGGACTCTTTTTTTTTTTTTGCTTATGTCCAGATTTCATGTTTAAATGGCTCTAAGCTTTACTATTAATAGTTCTGGCTTGGTCTTTACAAAAGACATGCTGCACTCCATTTTTTGTTATGTTCTAGTAATTAGAATCCTGTAATCATAATTACGAGAAGGTAGCTTCCCTAACCTCAGATGACTCGTTTGTTTTGATAGAGGCTAGAATAACTGAGGGCTGTAAGCTCTGACATTCGTCCAAGTTAGCCACTTGATTGGTTCTTTACATGGAGGGAAGTAAAAGGCTGAGCCCGGTTCTCATTTCGTAATCTTCCATGCTCCCATTTTATGGTCTTGTCTTCCTGGTGACAGCTAGCAGAGCGGAGTCCTACGGCTGGGAAATTGTATTTGATTTCTAAAGCAGTCTTCCCAGGTAAAACCATGCAGATCCCAGGATTTGGGGCGTTCTGTGTCATCTCTATTATTCTGCCCAGTAATAATTCTCATTTGGCCTTAGGTGAAGGTCCGACCAGCATGTTCTCTTCCGTCGCTAATCTGTGACTCATTATTTTCATGAGCACAGCAAGTGTTTTTCCTTCTTAATAAAATGTTCCAAAATAGTATTTTAGATGGGAAAATACGGGCCTATGTCAGAAGGTCCCACGTCATCTTGTTAATTCAGCAGCACACCTAGTTACCATCCACGGATGATGGCAGCTGGGGCACCACAGACTGCCCTGCTTCACCTGTCTGAGCCCTGCTCGGATCAGCGAGAACTGTAAGCAACAGAAAGAACCAGCTCTCGGGAGTCAATGGCCACAGGAAGACGGTAGAGCTGGGTTTTAGCATTGCATTACAGAATGTTATCTGTCCTGTCTCTCCTTCATGTTTAAGCCTTTTAATGTTTTTTTTAAAACAAAAGCAGAGGTGTTTAAGTTTCATTATTTCTGATTTTATCCAAAGATGGAAATCAACAAGGTGCAGAAGGATTGCGATGAACATGTTTACTCTTGTGTTAGGAACGGCCCCTCAGTTGCAGTGTTCCTCGGCAGGGCGTTTTTGCCCCGCGCCACTTCATTCTTCTGCTTTGCTTTTCCCTGTATATTTTGTTTAAATTCATCTTCTCCAAGTCTGAATTTCTAGAAGTGGCCTCAGCTGGATCCAGCAAAACTGTGTCCGGCCTTGTTTGTTACTTAGCCAATATCAATCTGTTCTCCTAGTATAGCTAGGAGTTTGCCTTCTTTTAGTTTATTTATTTATTTATTTATTTATTTATTTAATCCTCACCCGAGGACATTTTTCCATTTTTTGTTCAGGTAGAGTGGGAGGGAGAGAGAGGAACAGAGAGAGAGAGAGAAACATCGATGCGAAAGGAACACATCGAATGGCTGCCACCCGCACAACCGACCAGGGCCGGGGACAAACCGCAACCGAGGTACATGCCCTTAGCGGGAACCGAACCCGGGTCTCTCCGGACCGCAGGTCGACGCTCTAACCGCTGAGCCAAACCGGCCAGGGCTCTTTTAGTTAATTTAACACATCTTTACAAGACCTAGTCTGTGAAAGAGACTGTATGGGCCCAAAGAAGAAAAAGGCTGCCCTTACCCGCAAGGAGCCCACTGTCTGGCAGGGAGAAATGGTAAGTGCACAGAGCTGGTGTAGCCACCTCAGAGAGGTCCGAGGAACTGCTGGGGCTGGGGCAGGGGCAGGAAAGGCTTCATGAAGCTGGGGTGTTGGAGCTGAGCCTTGGTGGATGGTTGGATGTCAGTCTGGAGAGGGAGACCTGGAAGGGAGCCAAGGAGGCAGCAGGTCTAGGCAGAGCAGGGAGGAGTTAAAAGGAACTTCAAGGAAGAACTAAAGAAATCCGAATAGTTTCAAGTAATAATCGGTATGTTCTGAGTCTCATTGTTTTTCTGAGAACACACTGGCTTATTTTAGTGAAATTCAGCACTGTCTGCCAGTAGCTTCAATGTATATTCCCATACACGGGTTATAGATGGTGGTGTATGGAGACCCTGAGCTTCCAGTTCAGTTTCAATCTTGTAGTTCTAACTAGAGATTTAAAAAATGGGATAGGGCATGCTGGGGTTGGGGGTTGGGTGGGGCTGTAAATTTAAACAGGGACAGCCCCACTGAGTAAGAACTCCAGGAAGGAAGGAAGTCTTTAGGCAGAAGGCCTTGCAGGGGCACAGGTGGGCATGTGCTTGGCATGCCAGAAGGCCAGTCGTGTAGCAACAGAGTGCTCCCTTTACATAATATTTATGATAAAAATGCCCCTACTACTGTCCTGAAAAGAGATTTATAGATGCTAACCTACCTGCACCCACAGTTTTAAAAAGAAAGAAATATATTACCCACTTGGTAATCTGAAATAACAGGTGGGCAGTTTTTAATCACATATATGTAATTTAACATGTAATGCTTAGCTACATTCTGATCTCTGCTGACTCCACTGATGAGTGAGCACGGTGCCTGTCGGTGTAGACTGGTAAAACGCAGGCTAGGATACCAGATACCTCTGGTAACTGGATTTCCAGGACGGTGAGCAGTTCTTGATAACGTTCCAAACAAAGGCACAGCCTTACCTGACTTCGACAGTAGTCACATTCCAAGAAGAGTCAGTTGTATAAAAGTAGGCAAAAAGTGCTTTTGTGTTATGTAAAGCAGTTAGATTGTAGAGTCGGGTAATTACTAAGGGTTTTTTGGCCCATTTGAGTGTCTGGTGGAACATCAGAGCAGCCTGCAATTGTGGGGTGATCTTTGGCCGTGCAGGGCGCTCTGGCATCCCTGGACCCCCACAGTCCATACCACCCCACTCCCCCAGTTCCTGTGACCACCAGGAAATGCCCTCACAGACTTCCTGAGCATTGCCGGGCCATTTGTGCCCTCTGTATGGAGACCACTGGTAGCTCCTGATGGCTGGTGTGAGGGAATCGGCTTTTCTGAAGCTGTTGGTGGTGTCTGAACAAAGGAGCCCTGGTATTGTGTGATATTCGTGTTCCCGCCCCCAAATTCCTATGGTGGAGCCTTTGGGAGGTGATTTGGTTTAGATGAGGTCAGAGGGAGGGACCCTGTGATGGGATTAGTGCCCTTCTGAGAAGAAAAAGAGACCATAGCTCTGTGCTGTCCACAGTGAGAACATAGTGAGAAGGCGCCGTCTGCAAGCCAGAGAGAGGGCTCTCGCTCAACCCACACTGACACCTGGTCTGCGACTTCTCGTCTGTGGGACTGTGAGATGTAAATGTCTAGTTTAAGCCACCTGGGCTGCGGTATTTTGTTATGGCCGCCTGAGCTGACAGACACCCAGCCTTAGCTTTATAGGATCAGCAGGCGCTGCCCTGAGACTCAGCTGATGGAGCCAGGAGGGAGGAGACCAGGCAGAGGCGACTGCACCGGTCCCAGCAAGGGAGACCTGCATCTGCGTGGCAGTGGGGCGTCAAAGCCAAACGGAAGAAGCTTGCCGATGCAGACAGACACCTGTAACTCATCAAACTGGGGTTCTGCAGAATATAGCCCTGCTACTCCATTTCATGGTGTCATAATTGTTTACTTGTTTCAGGGGCCAACAAACTGGGAGTGTTTTGTTTTGTTTATTTTTCTTTCCATAGAGTGGTTTTGGCAGGTGCCTTAGTTCCTCACCCAAGCATGTGTTGCTGTTCCCAGAAATGGAGATTTCTTACACTGTCGTGACAGACTGCACCTAGTACAGAAAATGAGTTTTACTTGTTTTCAGAAACTAAGTTGAGTTCTGACACTTGACATGAGATGGGACCTTTCTAAGCTGTGATTTTCTAACCGTAGCTTCGCTGTCTGTCCGTTTCTGAAACTTCGCCAGTGAGGATGGTTGCGTATGTTTTATTTCAGCTCACACGCAAACAGGAGGTTGCTGTCCTGCCTTCTGTTGGATTGGTTTTACAGGGCTTGCTCTGGCTTGCTGGGGTCCAAAGGACTTGCGTGGGTATTGCCGGCTCTGGTTTACAGTTTTCTTGCACTTAACTTGAAATACTAGTTAATGCTGATTTTTGATACTCAAGTCGCCATCAAATTGCAGGTAACTCTTTAGCCTCCCTACTCCCATCTATTCCATGGCACGGAGCACTGGCTCTAATTTATTTTTTTATTTATTTTTATCTTCATTGTGGAATGTATTACAGATGTTCCTCATTTTTCCCCCATTAACTCCCTCCTCCCCACTCCTGCCCCCCTCCTGCCTTTTCCCACACTGTTGTCTGTGTCCATTGGTTATGTATATATGCATATAAGTCCTTTGGTTTATTTATTCCCATCCCCCAACCCCCTTCTCTTTCAGGTTTGTCAGTCTAGCAACCAATTTGTACTTCTTAATCCCTTCACCTTTTTCATCCATTCCCCCAACCCCCCTCCCATCTGGCAACCAACAAAATGTTCTCTCTATCTATGAGAATGTTTCTGTTCTGCCTGTTCATTCTGTTTGTAGATTCAATTGTTGATAGATATGTATTCATTGCCATTTTGTTTGTTCATATTTTTTATCTTTTTCTTCAAGAAGACCCTTCAACATTTCATATAATAATGGTTTGGTGGTGATGAACTCCTTTAGCTTTTCTTTGTCTGGGAAACTCTTTATATGACCATCGATTCTAAATGACAGCTTTGCAGGATAGAGTAATCTTGGTTGTAGGTTCTTGCTTTTCATCACTCTGAATATTTCTTGCCACTCCCTTCTGGCCTGCAAAGTTTCTTTTGAGAAATCAGCTGACAGTCTAATGGGAACTCCCTTGTAGGTAACTGTTTTTCTCTTGCTGCTTTTAAGATTCTCTCTTTGTCTTGAACCTTTTGCATTTTGAT